CAAAAAAGAAAACTTTGAGTACAAGCTTCCATAAATATTTATGAGTCACTTATAAGTATTTAGTTTATAGTTAAAAATTATATTATATTTATTTTATAAATTAAATTTAAATATTTAGTAACTTATAAATTTAATAAAGTTGAAAAGGTAATTCAAATAAATTCATATTTTGAGTTATGGTTATTAGTAAAACTATTTGAATGAAATTTATGTTTTTTTATTACTATACTTATTATATTTAAGCTTTTGATACTACAATCTATTTGAAAAATGTGAAAATATTTATATTTAAATAATTAGTTATTGAAATATTTTGGAATTACCAAAAAAAAAAAAAAACTTGAATTCAATTTATAATATTCATTGGATTTAGTTCAGAATAGGCTCAAATTTGATCAAATAATTGCAAACTTAAGCACGAACTCAACTATTTTGAGCTCAAAAAATAATAGAACTCAAATTTTTAAAGCAAATTTGAGTACAAGAACTTAGGTACCCAACTCAACCTGACTTATTAACAGCTCTAACCATAGGACACATGGTTGTAGTAAACGTGAAAATATTTAGGGAAAATTGCACATATCCTCTTGTGATTTCACAAAGATTTGCACATTTTTCTCGTGTGATTAAAAAATGTGTACTTAACCTTTTGAATTATAAACATGTGCTCATAACTCTGTTATAGTTTGCAAAATGTGCACTTGACTTTCAAGTTTTATTTATTTATTTTGTATATAGAAATTAGGGATTGAATCCTAAACATGTGATTAAGAGTGCCGGTAAGTCTACTATAAGACTACATAATTGATGGTTGAGTCTTAAGTTTATTAATATATTCAAGTGAAATCTCAAAAATAGGTGAAGATTAATTGCACAATTTTCAAATTATAGAGAATTAACAATTAAGGGTGTGTTTGGTTAGAGGTCACTTTCTTGCGAAAGTTTTTACTAGTAAAGTTGTTAAAAAAGTACTGTACGAAAAGTTAAAAAGTATTGTACAAAAGTTAAAAAATACTATATAGAAAGTTATTAAGTTTTGTAACAGAGTTTTGTTGAAATTTTGTTGGATTGTTAATTTTGTTGTATTTGGTAAAAATTAATATAAGGAAAATTAATAGAAAAAGTTGTTAAGTATACCAATATAAGGAAAGTTATAGAGAAACTTTTTTCATTTAAAAGAGGTAGTAAGAAAACTTTATGTAAAATTCTCAAATCCACCCCTAAAGTTAGGCAGTAGGGACATATCCATTCCTGAACAAAAAATGGGGATAAATCCATCATAAAGTTTTTAATTTAGACAAATCATCCAAAATTTACTATGTAACATTGGCTGACATCAACAATTCATAACAATGAACTTATCAACAGTGTAATAAGTTAACAGATTATGGACATTATTTGACATCATACATTAAATTTGGTATAATTTGTCCAAGTTGAAAACTTTATTAGTAGATTTCTCCTTTTTTTTCTTTTATTGTTTAGGGGTGGATCCATCCCTATTGCCTAACTTTGGGAGTAAATTTAGGCATTTAGCCAAAACTTTATAAATTGGGAATTGCACTAAAAGTACTACTTCTGCCCTTTATTTATTATAGTTTTAAGATGTAGAAATACCAAAATATCTTTACAAAATCTTGGAAGAGGATCTTTTTCAGGGAAGAAAACCAAACACCCCCTTAGGGCTTGTTTGATTAGAAGGCCAATTTTATTAAGAAAGTTTTTACAAAAAAAAAAAGTTAGAAAAGTATTGTACAAAAATTTGATTAGTATTATGTAGAAAGTTGATAAGTTTTGTATTAAAATTTTATTAGAATTTTATTGAATTGTTAATTTTTTTTGTAGTTAATAAGAAATTTTTATATGAAAAGCTGATAGGAAAATTGTTAAGTGGGTCATACATAAGAAAAGTTGAGAGAACTTTTTTTCTTCAAAAAGCATTGAAAGAAAAGTTTAGCGATTAGGAATTGTGTGAAGGAAAATAAAAATTAAAAATATTACTTTACCCTTATTTTATAATAATACTAATGTGTAAAAATGAAAAAATAATTTTATAGGAGAAAAAATTTAGAGAATTTCAAGGAGAAACTAAACACCCCCTTGAGTGAATTTGCAAACCACATGGGTTCCCAACTCATAGAATATTCACCTTAGCTGTAAGTGCAAGGGTGTTTGGTGCAGATTGTGAAAAGAGCTTTTTGGCTCTAAAAGCACAAGTTTCACAAAACGGGTTAGCTTCTCAAATGTGCTGCAGCTTTCGAGAAGTTCACCTTCTCGTCGTTCCTTTGCAAAGCCTGGAAGCTCCAATTTCTTACTTCCACGGGAGCTTCTCACTTAATGTTTAATGAAATTGACATGGCATTCCCATTTTGTTCTCACACTTCCTTTTATTTACAAAAAAACCAGTATATAAAGGTTAATTTTATACCTCCTCTTTCTTTCCCTTGTCTTTCTTTCTTTGTCTCTGAAGCAGTCGAATGTGCCTTTTTCTCCCTCCCTTCTTGCCCACCTTTTTCCAAAGCAGACGGAAATATCAAAGCATCTCAATCACCGGCCTTCTTTCTCCCTAACTACTTCAAAGCAGAAAAGCCCATTTTCCCTCACCGAAAAATCCCCACCAAAATCCCATTTCTCCTACTTCTGTGAGTCTCCATCCTTTTCTCTGATTTTTTTTCCTTTTTTGGTGTTTCTGCTACCAATTTGGTGGTGATGAATGATGATTGTTGGTTGGTAGTGTGAGTTGGTGACAGTTTTAATTTTTAATCCCTTGTCGTTACTTCTCTTCTTGTAGATCTGGGTGACGTGATGAAGCGGCATGGGTCGGTAAAGCCAAACGAAGCGGCAATACCGGAGGGAAGTGAAGCGGAGGGTGTTCTTGCCACGGGACTTTGGATTCTCAAGGCATTTTGGGAGCAAGTACGAGCTCGGGGAGGAGGTTGGGAGAGGCCATATTGGTTATACTTGCTCAGCAAAGTTCAAGAAAAGGGAACTCAAAGGACAAGAAGTTGTTGTTAAGGTTATACCCAAAGCGAAGGTAAGCTTGTTGTTCATTATTTTGGGTGCTTACTGCTTAGTATATGTTTGATTTCTTGGTTCGACTATATGTTTCTGATAGTATAGAGATGAGATCTGCTGGTAAACCTCTACTTTTATCAATCCTGTACCATGATCAGTTTGCTTGATTGCATTTATTAATATGCAAGAATGGATGGTGTATTGAATTATTGGTGGCGAAATTCTTTGAATTGGGGACCTTGGATTGGAGATGTAGTTGTAGTATGTGTTGATTTGCCTTTTTTTCTCAAGATAAAAATTAATCTTTCTTTTTAATCTTTTGGGGGAGGGGGAATTGTGTCATTCTATTGTCTTCCTTTTAAGATCCTAATTCAATTTCAAGGTACATAAATGCATGCATTTAATTTGTTGTATTTTCACTCATCCATCTGTTTGATGCATAAAGAGAAATTCTGAAAATTTTTAACAATTTATTACAGTATATATCTTGTCTTGTTGATAAGATGTCTTTAACTAATTTATTTTGGTTTATTTTCCTTACGTACATGTATTTTTCTCCTTTTCATTTGATATCAGTTATTTTTGCACCAAATTAATTACCCTGCACAAGGAGTATGAGGTCTGCTTGCTTTTTTTGCTGTTTTGATCATACGATTTTTCAAGCTCGCTAAGCTCGAGATGATGTATTTTTTTCTTTTTATAAAAGAATTTGGAGTTTAATATATATAGTTTGCATTTCATAAAAATAATTAAAAGGTTAGTGTTGGGAATATTGTCTCCTCAAAATTTTTTTTTGGACGTGTTTAAGGAACTAGATACTAATTAATATATTTAAAAACTTATTGTTAAATTAAAATTTTTATTTTTCAACAATTTTTTTTCTTTTTAAGACATTAAATTTTACTATCTCTATAGAATCTCATTTCTCCCTCTATGCATTGCCTCCTTTTTTGATAGATAAACCATGTTTTGTGACTGTGGTAGGAAATGAGGGGTCCTTTAGGGGCAATCATAGGGAGGTACCCATCAAGTGATAGGAGTACCCAACTGGGAGGAATCATAAGGCACAACAGGAAATGCAGAGATGTTGCATTTCTTGTTATCTTTATAGCATTTTGGGTTGTTATGATTGTTAACTCTAGCTTTGGGTTCAACCAAGGAAACCCCAAAAGGTAAGATTTTCTAGCATACCTAATGCATAGATTTCTCTAATTTCCAAATGGGTATCTTTTAGTTTTGTAGAGGTTGAGCAATTTGTTGTTCTTATAGTAGGTTTTACTGTGTCTCAAACTTAATTGGGTTTTCTATTTTGGCTCATTTACAGTAATGTATGTAATGGTCTGTTTGTAAGTTTGGTTGACACTAGGCATTATTAAAATTTTGAGGTTAATTTACACCTATAAAAGACTATTTTATAATTATTCCTAGTTTTAGCATTCTATTTTTGGTGTTATTATGTGTATCCATACTTCCATTATTCAACATTTGTTTTTATGTGTTTGTAGATCTTGTTTTAAGGCTAAAATTATTTCAATATATAAGATGGCTGAAAAAAGGTCAAAGGTAGTGTGGGATGCATTTACAACGAAATTTTTTTGCAAGATATGTGTGGAAGAGGTCAATGCCGGTAATCGTCCTAATAGTACTTTTAATAGATTAGGGTGGGCAAATGTGGAAAAAAAATTTAATGAAAGAACAAATAAGCATTATATGTATAAACAACTAAGAAATCGATAGGATGCATTAAAAAGTGATTGGGTTTTGTGGAATCAACTCTTAAAGCGAGAAACAGGACTAGGGTGGAATCATGAAAAAGGCACAATTGATGCTACTCCTCAACGATGGGCTAAATTGAAAGCGGTTAGTTGTATTCTTTTATTGTTAATGAGTTTTAGTTTTTTACATGTGACTTTATTAATTTTAACTTTAAACTTCTAATAGGTTATATTTGTTATAGGAGAACAAAGAATATAGTAAATTTGAGCATCATGGATTAGAAAACACAGTGGAGTTGCATCAAATGTTTGACAGAATAGTAGTCACCGGTGAAACTGCATGGACTCTAGCTGCTGGGCCGATTCCTCTAGTACAACAGAATGTGGGGTTTGAAGATGCTGTTGATTTGGAAGAAGGAAGTGGTGATTCTGATGAGGTGAATGTCATCCCAACACAAACTGGTGGAAGTAGTGAAAAAAGAAGGAAAAACACAATTGGTCCTTCACTTACCAACAAAGGGAAGAAAGTGAAAGTAGGGGGTGCAGCATACATGCAGAGACAATTGAATCATCTTTGTGATGCAGTTGAAAGTTATACCACAACTACTTTGAGTGATTCATCAAAGAAGAATTATGAAGCACATCCTGATAGCACTAAAGAATGTATGGAGATGTTGTTAACTTTACTTGGAGTTGAAGGTGGTAATGAGCTTTTTATGTTAGGTACTTGTTTGTTTGTAAAACGAGAATATAGAAATATGTTTAGGAGTATAAAATCAGTTAACCTCAAAACTTTCTTGGCTACAGCAAGAGTTGGAAAGGGACAAGATAAGATTTGAGATGGAGAGGGAGAGATTCAGTGGTAGAAGGCATTACTAGGATGTTTATATTTGAGTTTTTAGTATTAAGACATTCGTAATGCTTGTATTTGAAATACAAAACTGTTTTCTTTTTTATTTGTATTTTCATTGTATGTTCATTGTATGTGGACTAATGTTATGAATTTATGTCTTTTTCATAATTTTTTTGCTTAGAAATTGGACTAATGATTTATAGTTCAAATAAGGATTCCATATTAATCCATGTTTAGATTATCACTTATCTTGAAATATTAAGTTTTTTTTTTTTTGTTAATTTGTAAAAGTTAATAAAAAGTTAAAATAAT